CCTGTTCATTAACTCACCTGCACTGCCTGTTCATTAACTCACCTGCAGCACTGCCTGTTCATTAACTCACCTGCAGCGCACCTGTTCATTAACTCACCTGCACTGCCTGTTCATTAACTCACCGCAGCGCACCTGTTCATTAACTCACCTGCACTGCCTGTTCATTAATTCACCTAATCAACTTAGATTAACTTATCTCTTACCCTCTGTCCATTGACTAAAATGTCCAATGTATCACGTCTAATAACTCGGCCTTCCTCTAAATCTTGTTCATTTGTTCACCTGTCCAATACCTAACCTCTAACTTTCTGGTCTATTAACTAACCTGTTTATTAGCTCCACTGTTCCATTAGTTCATCTACTAATTAGGTGAACGTGCCTAAAACTCACCTGCAGCTTACCTGTCTATTATCTTACTTCTCCTCTGTTCTTTGTGTAGAAATCTGATTTTTCTGATTATTTTCTCTGCAGTGTCAGTTCTTCATGCGTCAGGAGGCGTGGCAGAGGGCGGTGCTCTATGAGGGGAGGATTATGGGTAAAAATGAGAGGCATCAGCCGCAGCAGGTGGATGATGATGGTTTTCTCATCCAGGATCAGGTGTCTTTGTCCCAAAACAGGAAGTCACAAAAACACTGGGTCACCTTTTGGATGGAGACTCACTGAGAGATTTTTAGTACCCATGGAAACGCACACTGGACTGAACCGAACCGGACCAGAACTGCTGCTGTCAAGTGAAAGCCCTCTCAGGTTAGGGGGGGAGTGTGACGTATTCAGCCGACAACTGCTTGAACATTTATCAATTTGGAATTAACATTCCCAGCTGACTAACCGGTTATTGATTCGAAACTGGTGAACAGGAAGTGCTTTAATTTGAAAGGCTCCAACAGGAAAGAGCAGAACTCTTCTTTAAGGACCAATCATGGCAGCAGGACCAGTGTTTCTGCTTGTGCTGCCTTCATGAGCAGGAAGTAAAATTCTTTGGGTACCACTTTACGATAAGGCTCCCCTTAAAGATGCTAATAAATAGTTTATAGATACGTCATTAATTCCACTATAAACATTTTATAAATCATTAATAATTGTTTATTATGCATTAAGGGCGACAGAGACAAAACCAATTGGTTTCTTGCCATATAGTAGCCAAATCTTCCACCTATATATTTAATCTAGAGTTGTTATATTAAACATTTCAGACTAAGTTACTACCTTGTAAAGTACAATAAGCATTTGTAAACCCAGTTTTTTTTAGGATTAGTTGTAGATAATTATAATGCAGTGATAATGTGCAATAGTATATCCTAAAAAAAAAAAAAGTTTACAAATGCTTATTGTGCTTACAAGGTAGTAACTTAGTCTGAAATATTTAACTCTAGATTAAATATATCGGTGAACAGTTTTGGCTTTGTCACCTTTAATTAATGCATAATAAGTAGTTAATGGTTTACAAAGTGTTTATAGAGGAATTAATAACAGATCTATAAACTATTTATTAGCCATCTATAGTAGAAGCCTGGGAGCCTTATTGTAAAGTGGTACCATCCTTTGTGTTGCATTCAGGTGCTGTCAGATCCAGTGTTGCTGTAGCTTTGTGTGTGAATTGTTCTGTGTGAGTCTGAACCTGAGACTATGATCCACCTGTTCTGGCTTTGTCACAAAACTGCCACCTTCTGGAAAGAAGACATCTCATTTATCCAGAGAAAGATTGACTCTAATTTTTGTTTAAGTTGGAACAATGTACTGTTTTGGAGTCCATGATACCAAAAACAAATAGCACTATATATCATAAATTTCATCATACTTTTAGGGAAATATCATACACAAATCAAAGGTTAGTCACTCTGTTCACTTTTTTCAGGCCTTCCACACGGAGTCTGAACATTGTAACCATTCGTGACTCAAGCGACAAGAAAGCTCTAAAAACGTTTGATTTGTGCTCTTTATTTAAGGTTTATTTGAATAATCCCCCTGGTTTTTGTTTTTCATTGAATGTATATTGATAACTGTCTTGTAATGTTTTACTTTTAGTTATTTAATTTAATTTTTAAAAAAAAGCTGTGTGTAAAGTAGTGATGTACTGACGGCACTTGAACGCAGCATCAGTCTGTGTGTAAAGTCTTGCGGTTTTTATGTGGTTTGTGATAAAATGTGTTTCCTGTCTGCTGATAATAAAATCCGTTTTTATTAGTGATTTTCTGTGATGCATGCAGGGTCACTCTGTTCATAAATGCATTCACTGAAGTGACTTCAGGAGACAAAGAAACGGTCAATGAGTCGGGCCGGACCTGACCGTGGATCAGAACTTTAATAAAATATTTATTTTTCAGAAAGAAAAAGAAAAAACGTGTATTTAATAACCAGTTCAGAACAGTGTTTTATTTCTTTGGACCATCAGGTGGTTACATCAGTGTAGCTGTAGCCGTGTTCTGACACGGAGAGGGAATTCAACCGCGGTACTTTAGACCCAGTTGTTGATCTGGATTCAGTTTGATACAAACTTTCACTTCAGGCTGAATCTGTTTCCCCTCCAGAACCAGGTTGCTTCAGGTATTAATAAATAAAACCCGAACTGGCAGCTGGTCACAGATACGAACACCAGAACCAGCGCACACTGCGGTCTACAAGGCCGTCAGGTTCCACTCTTCATCAACAAACTCCTCTTCATCATCAGCTGAAGACTCCGAGCAAGAAAACTGGTTCACCTGAAACACACCAATGTTACGATCTGCAGTGCACACACGCGCACATGCACAGGTGGGTGGGACCAGGTGAGTATACCTGCAGGACGCCTTCAGTCTCTTCATCTCCAAACTGATCAGAGGTGTGTTTCAGCTCCACCATCACTTTACCGTTACCTGCAGAGAAACACCTGGGATCAGAACTAAGACTTTAGGAAAATTTCCATCAGGACATGGGAGTTCCTAAAAAATTCTGTATTAAAATTTCCATGGAAATTAAGAGAATAACCTGGAAGTTGAGGGGTAATTTGAAAAAACTGTATTAAATCTAAACAAAAATATAAACATTTGATTTTCTTATCAGCAAATAATGAATTTGACCCCAAGTTTGTTAATTAACACCCAATGAAAGAAGCTCATTCCAGCTACTTGGATGCAGGATCTGGTTCCATCGGTCCGGATCCAAACCTCATGACCACACGTGAGGGTTGAACATAGACGGCCCAGTAAATCCAGAGATTTGCCTTTAGGCTCAACTTTCTTTTCACCACAGCTGACGAAAGCAATGCCTTCATTACTGAGGATGAGGCCTCAGACTTAAAGGAGCCAACTCTCATTCCAACTGAGAACTGCCCCAGAGCACGATGAAGGTCTTGGCCTGAAGACACCAACAGAACATCATCTGCGTAAAGTAGAGACGAGAGCCTGAGGTTCCCAAACCAGATGCCCTCCTCTCCACGACTGTGCCTCAAGATTCATTCCATGAAGACTGCAAACAGGGTTCAGTGCTTGGACCAATACTCTTTACCTTGTATATGCTTCCATTAGGTGATGTTGTCAAACAGCATGGGATACATTTTCATTGTTATGCTGATGATACACAGTTATATTTGTCCATGAAACCCAACGAATCCAATCAGCTACTTAGACTACAAGCATAAAAAACATAAAAACCTGGATGACTAAATTTTCTGCTCTTGAACACAGACAAGACTGAGGTTTTAGTTTTAGGACCAGAGCGTCTTAGGAATGAATTTTTCAGTATTTCTCCCTCCTTGGATGGCATTAATCTGGTCTCCAGTTCTAATGTTAAAAATCTTGGCGTTATTTTTGATCAGGACATGTATTTTATCCCCCACATTAAAAATGTTATTAAAACTGCCTTTTTCCACCTGTGTAATATCACTAAAATTAGAAACCTCTCAAAATGATGCAGAAAAACTGGTTCATGCATTTGTCACGTCTAGACCGGACTATTGCAACGGTTTGTTGTCTGGGTGTCCAAATACTTCTTTAAAAAGTCTTCAGTTGATCCAAAATGCTGCTGCCAGAGTCTTAACTGGAGTTAGTGGGCGAGATCATATCTCTCCAGTTTTAGTTTCGCTCCATTGGCTCCCTGTCAAGTCCAGAATTGAATTCAAAATCTTGCTTCTAACCTACAAAGCTCTCAACAACCTAGCTCCATCTTATATTACAGATCTTATTGTTCCATATTTTCCCAGCAGAGCACTTAGCTCTCAGACTGCAGGTTTACTTGTGGTTTCTAGGGTTTCCAACAGCAGAGTGGGAGGAAGATCTTTCAATTATCAGGCTCCTCTCTTGTGGAACCAACTTCCAGTTTCGGTCCATGAAGCTGACACATTGTCCAGTTTTAAGACTGGGCTAAAGACTTTCCTTTTTGATAAATCCTATTTATAAAAATAAAAAAAAGGTTTGTAGGCTCAATCATCCAGGTAAATAACAAAAAAAGGTTAAATCATGTCATCTGGACCAGTTTCTTTAAGGGAGAAACTTTTCGTCTTCCATCTGGAAGACTTCATCAGTCTGTGGACTGCCAACCAGATCTTAGATCTCAGGCCACAGACTGATGAAGTCTTCCGGATGGAAGACGAAAAGTTTCTCCCTTAAAGAAACTGGTCCAGATGAAATGATTGAACCTTTTCTTGATATATCCTATAGCTGTGGTTCTGGTGTGGTTCTGGTGTTGTACCTAGAAGTATGAGCAGAACCGTGGAGAAGGCTTGAACCAGAGCTTTCTCTCTGACCAACCTCTGCAGCTTACAGCGTCTCTGCAGGAGGACATCTGGACCTGAAACACAGATTGACACTGTCAGGACAGACCCACACCATCAGGACAGACAGGACAGACTGATACCCTCACCTGAGCAGGTGAACTTTTCCTCCAGCACCGCGGTTCCTCTTGTCTTCAGTCCATGTTGAGGGAAGGTGAGCTGCATCAAACAGCCGAACTTGAGCCTCTTCTCTCTGACTCCGCCCACATCGTCGTCCTCATTCTCGCCTTCTTCGTTGGTGAGCTCCTTCAGCTAAGAAGGACAGACTGTCTAAACATGTTCATCACATCGTGAGTCGGCAGAGGAATTGTTTCTTACCGTGATGATGTCAGAGGTCCAGCCGTTGAAGCCCAGGCAGTGATTGGCCAGTTCCAGGCAGCGGGCGTGGCTCAGAGGTGTGTTTCTGACAGACAGGAAGTGAGGAGTCTCTTTTGAGCTCAGCTTCACCTGAACACACACAGGTGGGTCTCAGATAAGAGACTGGGCTGAGAGCCAATCAGATCAGACCAGGATCACATTAAAAAGTTCAAAAGAGCACCTGGTGACCTGAGTACAGGTAAGAAATGACAGCTGACCTTGAGGGCGGAGCTCTGGAACAGGAAGCGTCTGTCAGTGAGTCTCTGAGCCATCGAGGCGTGAGCTGCAGAGTAGAACTTAACGAGGGCGTAGAACCCGGGAGGGTGGACCGGAGCGTTGGGACACACCTTCAACAGGTAGAGAGGCCCGAAGGACGAGAAGACGGCAAACAACTGCTCCTGAAACAAACAAACAAACAGCTGCTACTGAAATAAACAAACAAACAAACAGCTGCTACTGAAATAAACAAACAAACAGCTGCTC